TGATGCGACAGACGAGAGGAAGATCAGCGCGGTCACGACCACGGGCAGGACAGGAATTCCGCTCCTCTTGATCGCCACCAGATAAGGCGAGGTCCCAGCGCCAACCCCGTGGTTTGTAAGTGACGGATCGTTAAAGGGACTCATTACGCCCATGGCCACTGCGTTGAGTATATAGACCACGAAAAGATGTATCATGTCGATTCGGGATACACTCAGAATGTTGGCTTGCTGTTTCGAGTCAAGTTGTTCAATCCTCTGGACGATGAGCTCCGGCGTAAAGACGAAGGCAATCGTGCTATACAAGAGGCACTGGAGCAGGCCAAGTAACCGGCCCAGGTGACCATCGTATATGAATTCGTTCATGGGGCCCGGCTCGTTCCAGTAATGGAATCCTTGGACAGGAGAGTGAGGAGCACCTGGAATGGCAAAGACAACGGAGAGAAAGACGAGGCCCGTGGTCGTGATCAGTTTCAAGTAGGTAAAAACAGCTTCCGACCTCTTGAACGATCTTTCTGGGAGCATGTTGAAGCCAAATATGATCAAAGTAGGAATGCTGACACGAAGCGCAACCGCAGGCGAGGGATTTACCATTCCAAGACTGACAATAGCGTTCGTGATTTCGAACGGGATGAGCATCGACAGTGAATACCAGCGAAGGTAACCCATGGAGAAGGCCAAGGGTTTTGAAGCGTATCGGTAGGTGTGAGAGACCATTGTGCCATCTTGAGCCGGCATATGAGCTGCAATCTCCGACAAGGCGGTTGTGAGACAGTATACCAGAACAGACAAGAACAAATAGGAGAAGAGCAAGGAGGCAGGGCCCCCAGCGGCCAGCGCCTGGCCGCCTCCGATAAAGAGGCCTGTCCCAAGGGTCGGGCCGACCGCCATGATTTCCAGCTAACAATGATAAATATGAGTAAAGATACGGTGGACAAATCGAGAAAGCCAGGAGATCTGGCCGGTTGAATGATACTTCATGTAGGCCTGGAATAGGTAGAAGATATAGTGCGTATGAGGGATGATCGTTCTTGCCTCACACAGCTGCCCCGGGTGAAACAACACATTCTCCTCCCTATTTTGAGAAAATGGAAAGGAGCAAGAGCAGTTGACGAGGTTCGAGGTAGCGAGTCTATCGGAATATTCGAAACGAAATCTAATCCATCAGCCCGACCGAAACCTTGACAAGAAAGAAAAGACGCCCTTAAAGGAAAAGCAAGCAGATATCACTTCGCTGGGTATCATAGTCTAATGAAGACAAGGACAGAAGGGAAGAGTATAAAACCCTGTCAGATACGCATAACCACGAGAACGCCGAGCAGCAACTCCGCCACTGCCACACCTTTGTTGAAGGCTTGATGAGCAGTGAATCGCGGTAGTCAATCGGCGTCAGAAGACAAAGGCGAATTCACTCATAGTCTATACCGGTCTCAGCGTATTCGAGCCACTTGCCCGACAAGGACTTTTTCCAGAAGCGGACAGCGCCATCGTCACCAGAAGAGATGAGGCAATCACCTAAAACAGTTCAGTTTCATGCCAGGAATCGGTTTCCAAGAGTGCCAGTCAAAACTCACCTGCGTAGGAAAACTCTACCTGCCATACATCGAGATGTTTGCTATCGATACAAGCAACTTCCTTGTACGAATGCTTGAACTGAGAATCACCAGTCGCTGGACGATTTGTCACCGACTCAGGTGTTCGATTTGCAAGAGCGGACCCAATCCCCGATTGTGCAGTGGCACGCAAGGAGGGTGACTGTGGATGAGATTCGACGTGTCTTCCATTGGCGTTCTGCGAACCACTGTTTGACATCAAAGTATAAACTTCAAAGACTCGTACGAAGCCATCTTTGCAGCCACTAGCAATGATATCGTAGCCTCTAACAGAGCCATTAGCCCAGGAGATGTCTCTGACAAGCCCGCCATGCCCAGTCAATTCAATGGCGTGGTAGAAGCGACGATTGGCGTCGGTGCGGTATACTTTGACGCTGTCCATGGCGGCGACGACAAGAGAGAGGCTCTTACGGTCCCAGCTCGGATTGACTAAGTGAGTAATATCTGTTGGATCGTGGTGAAACTGCACTTTGAAGCTGGTTTCCTCGCCGCGTTGAGGCGCGGTGCAAACTCGAAACTGATCCAGGGGCTGCCAGTCCGCGAGGGAATCGGGGCTGACGGGTTCCATGACCATAAGGTAGCCGTCCCGAGTAATTACAGCGAGCCAGGTCTCAAGATCAATGTTGCGAAAGTCCATAGAAACGAACGGATGCCGTTGGGGCGCCGTCATACGGAAGATCGACCTGAAGCGTCGCCCCGAATTGGGTGGTTGGGTGACGTCTTCCTGCCAGATTTTGCACTTCATGTCTTCGCCTACACTGCCTATGTGCTGGCCAGTAAATGGGCCATTCCACGTCGCCTGTCACAAATGAGTATTTGCCAGCGCAATGGGCTCAAGGAGCGGATGCTTACATCACGGATTTCAGCGTCATGGGCGCGCCAGGTATCGATCAGTTGCCATTCACCATCTTTCTGATCCCACACCTTCATGCGGTGGTCCGAAGAAGCGGTGACAATGCGATTGCCATAAAAGTTGAATTTGGTCACTGTCACCAAGTCACGATGGCCGGCATCGAAGTCGGCGAATCCAGAGGACATGTCGGGCCGATCAGGTGTCCCTTGTCAAGGATCCCGGGGGACCAGGTTCAGTCAAGTGGAGCAGACAGACAGGAATACAATGCAGATTCAAGCATGCGCATCGACTTCAATTGAAGATGAGCAGAAAACCACCCATGTACACAAATAAGGCAGAGGTGCCAGTGAATTAGGCGGAAGCACTTCTCATTATCATCACAACAATAACTCGTCCGTATCTTGTGGGGCCAATTGAATTGGAGACTTTTCCTATTGCGGATTGACTGGAGAATCAGCTACATAAGCATGTGAATCGCTCACCGCCATCTGGGCGGTCTCAAACGACCGGCAGAACGGACTTGGGACTGTTGTGGGTGAAATGATGCCAGATTGCAATCCCTCGCCTGGATGCAATAATGCCAGGAAGTGGTCCTTTTTTTCTTCTCAGGAGCTGGCGCTCAGGTCTACTATACAGTACAGTAATGCCGAAGTTGTTTCCCCGACAATGAACTCAGCATCTGCAAGCTCGCTTTCTCCTGGGGAGACCTGGCGTCTCTTGGTGCTGGCGGGAGCGGGTATTGGAATCATCGTGAATAGTCTTCAGGGTGACGGTGCACCTCTAATCGCATCCATTGCTTTTAGCGCAGTTGCTTTTGCATTGACGTTCAGTCTAATTCGATGGCTGGGACCGGTTTTCATGAGAGCCGGCCTAAAGGGCAAGGACATGGCGAAGCCAAGAAGACCTGAAATGTACGAACATGTGCGAATTGTTGCTTTTTCCCTTCAATAACCTCCTCATCCTTGCTCTTCGAGTTGTTCGTGACTAGCCGGGTGAATATGAAGTTGTCATGCTAACTGATTTGCTAGACCGGAGACGATGGGGGCTGTTTGCGCTGTCGTGTACCTTCTGGCGCTCATCTTCTTCATTCCCTTTGCCTTTTATAAGGACATCGTTGCAGCTACGTCGGGTGGTGGTAATCGAGATGTAGTGCTTGAGATCGATCATGTCGAGAATGGTCGCTTTCTTCATCGCTTTCCACATTCCAAGGTCCGTCCTGCCGGTTCTGCTATCACACTTAGGTAACTGACATGTTGAAGCTTGCGTCTTATCTGTCTGGGCTCCTGTCATTGCAATGCATTGTCATACTAGGAATAGGAGATGATCTGCTCGATATACGCTGGAGACACAAAGTCCTCATTCCTGCATTCGGTGCAATCCCCATGCTCATTGTTTACTTTGTGGACTTTGGTGTTACGCAAGTTGTTGTGCCGGTGCCCCTGCAGCCGTATTTGGGCGCTTTCGTGGACTTGGGATGGCTGTACTACGTGTACATGTCCGCTATTGCCATTTTCTGTCCCAATGCCATCAACATGCTGGCGGGGATCAACGGAGTGGAAGTTGCACAATCACTCGTGATTGCGGTGCTGCTAGTTGCGAATGATCTGTTATACATTGCACCTACCACACCGTTCCCGCACCCTGCTACCGACTCGCATCTATTTTCTTTATACTTCCTGCTCCCTTTCATGGGGGTTTCATTGGCCTTGCTGTGCCACAACTGGTATCCATCGAAGGTGTTTGTGGGCGATACCTACTGCTACTTTGCGGGGATGGTGTTTGCCGTGGTGGGGATTCTAGGCCATTTCAGCAAAACCCTCTTGCTGCTCTTCATCCCACAGCTCTTCAACTTTCTGTACTCGACTCCGCAGCTCTTCCACATCATCCCCTGCCCCCGTCATCGACTCCCCAAGTTCAACGCCATGAGCGGTCTGTTGGACGCGTCCGTAACCGAGTGGACCGTGCCTCCGGCCCCATTGGTGGCTACTGGCCTAGAGATCCTGCACAGGCTGCGGCTGATTCGCATTACAAAAAATGAGAAGGGCGAGATCGTCGAGTCGACCAATCTGACGATCCTGAATCTGTGGCTGGTCTGGATGGGACCGATGCGGGAGGATCGTCTGGCGTGGCACATGGTCATGGTTCAGGCCGTCTGTGGAGCCTTGGGCTTGTTTGTGCGACATCGTCTGGCGTTGCTGGTGTTTCAGCAAGATAATAGAGCATTTGGATACGGGGTGTAATCTGAATATTAGTTTGTGATAGATCGAGTTGTAAATTAGATCAACTTCTTTACATTTGGCGCCATTATTCGGAGCCTCGGCTAAGATCGATGCGGTTCTGAAATGCTGACGTCAACGTATCACCAAATACTGCAGTAGTATGTTGAGTATTTCAAATACTCTCGAGATGACACCTAGGTTCCTACCGTAGCTCTGGGTCTGCCGAGGCTTGGGTAAGACTAGACGCTAACCATTAACTCCGAGCCTAAATCCAGTGCCGGTAGGGATCAGTAAGCCCAAGTCCAGGCTTCATCGTCATCGTCATCGTTATTTTCTGATATCTGCTCGGGCCACGGAGTTACTGTCATCAGATTTGGTTTCTTCCTCATTCTTGGTACTATGATGTGTTACTTACCTAGATAATCTCCAGGCGATATCTCCGCCCCTTGTCATCTGGTCGCATTAGTATGCCACAACAGACAGACTTTCTTTGTCTACGTCCCCAATGCTCTTGCTAGGCCAAAAAGACTTTCTTGGTTCAGCGTTTCGCAGTGGTTAACGGAGATACGGTCATGAAATCATAGATCCACTTGTCTACTAAACCCCTCAATTGACAGCCAGGTCTAGGAGAGAATGGGAGAAAGATGCCATATAAAAGCATCAACAAGGCTCACATTTTCGAACTGGCCATTCTACACAAGCCTAGATAAAGATAAGCCTCTTTATTGTTATCATCAACCTCAACATGGCGGAATTCTTCAGGCCAGCACCCGAGCCTCGCACCGAGCTTGGTCGGTATCGCATCCTCTCCTCGACTGCGGGCATCCGCGTGTCTCCGCTGCAGCTCGGCGCCATGTCGATCGGAGACGCCTGGTCGGATGTTATGGGCTCAATGGACAAGGAATCCTCCTTCAAGCTGCTTGATGCCTTCGTCGAGGCCGGAGGCAACTTCATCGACACCGCCAACAACTACCAGGATGAGCAATCGGAGACCTGGATCGGAGAATGGATGGCCGCCCGCCAGAACCGCGACCAGCTGGTCCTCGCAACCAAGTTCACAACCGACTACAAGGCCCACGCCCTAGGTAAAGGCCATGCCGTCAACCACAGCGGCAATCACCGCCGCAGTCTGCACATGAGCGTGCGGGACTCGCTCAAGAAGCTGCAGACGGACTGGATCGATATCTTGTACCTGCACTGGTGGGACCACACCACCTCCATCGAGGAGATCATGGACAGTCTGCACATCCTCGTGGAGCAGGGCAAGGTGCTATACCTGGGGATTTCGGACTCGCCGGCGTGGCTTGTGAGCGCGGCGAACACATACGCGCGCGCACACGGCAAGACGCCCTTCAGCGTCTACCAGGGGCGGTGGAACGTGATGCTGCGGGACTTTGAGCGCGAGATCATCCCCATGGCGCGGCATTTCGGTATGGCCCTGGCGCCGTGGGACGTACTGGGCAGCGGCAAGTTCCAGACCAAGAAGGCGCTCGAGGAGCGCAAGAAGAAAGGCGAAGGTCTGCGCAGCATGCTCGGCCCCGGTGAGCAGACGGAGGAAGAGGTGAAGATGAGTGAGGCTCTCGCGAAGGTGGCCGCTGAGCATGGTATCGAGTCTGTGACGGCCATTGCGCTGGCGTATGTGCGGGCCAAGGCCCCGAACGTGTTCCCGCTCGTCGGAGGGCGCAAGGTCGAGCACCTGCACGACAACATCCAGGCGCTGAGCATCAAATTGACCCCGGAGCAGATCGAGTACCTGGAGGGTGTGAAGCCGATGGATCTTGGTTTTCCCAACAATCTCCTTGGAGCTGATCCCAAGGTGACGGGCAAACCTACACCATTGCTGGCCGCCACTGCAACATTTGTTTTCGAGACTGGATCGAAGCCAATTGGGCTGGCTTGATCGATGACTGGGTTACCTAATTGTATATAATAAGTTCAATGGGAATTATAGTGTGTAGTTGCATATTCAATCGAAAAGGCTGCATAGACAGACGAGATACTTTGTATATGTAGTCCGCCGAAGCACAACTTCAACTTATCCAAGCTCCCGGTATCAGTTTTCGAACTGCACATGCATCATGCATTCTGATAAGTACTACATTATCTCTCGCTGGCATTGTGTTTCGGCAGTATCTCCCTACTTATTGAATATGCTGCACACAAATCGAGGACAGTTCAACAATACTCGAACGAATGGATTTCTACTGCAGTCATACAACAGTCAGGAGGCTTACTGAAAATCTCGGAACGCCTTCATTAATAGCGTGTCCACTGAGATCCGACTGGAACCGTCAGTATGGGACCAAACTAAGACACTGTCTCATCCTTGCTCCCCGAGCTGCCTTCCGGAGCTCCATATGGAGATGAGTTATATGCCAGGGTCACCAACACGCTCGCCTCTCGCATGTAGTGCAAACAAGCATAGACTCAGATCACACGTTACAACGATTACCCCAATCAGACAAGTCAATCAGAGCAGCGGCGTTACTCATAGACAACTATTAACTGTGGAGTATCGATGCGACTTCCGCGACTAAGCGGTCCTCTGGCCGGTACCGGAGGGATTTCCTTGCGCGGGATCCTCCGCAGCCAACCAATCACAGCCAACCCAATCTCTGCTGACGCGGCCGATGTCGGATCCGCCCCTCATCGTCTCTGAGCGACATCGCGACCACCCATCCCCGATAAAATGTTGCTGCTCCTCCTTGAGATCGCATCGTCATCATAAATGTCATTATTAGTATCTCCAAGGCTTTGAAGCATCTCTCTTTCGTCCTTTCTTCTTACTGATCAGTTAAGAAACAAAGTTGTTGCTGTTGTCTCGTATTACCAGCCAGACTTTTCCGCTCGCCTTTGCCCCTCATGCCTGGCGCTGACAAGAAGCCCAAGACCTTGTACGACAAGGTCCTGGACCACCACATTGTCAATGAGCAGGAGGATGGTACCCTTCTCATCTATATCGGTATGTTGACTCGTGATTGTCGCAATTGTCTTGGAGCTAACCGGTCACAGACAGACATCTCGTCCACGAGGTGACTTCCCCACAAGCATTCGAAGGTCTCAAGAATGCTGGCCGTAAGGTCCGCAGGCCGGACTGCACTCTCGCCACAGTTGATCACGTATGCTGTTCTCATCTCCTTGTATGAGATCAATCAAGCTAATTCAGCAATAGAACATCCCTACCTCGTCGCGGAAAAACTTCAAGAATGTCGAAGAGTTCATCGAAGAGACCGACTCTCGTCTGCAATGCAGCACCCTCGAACAGAACGTCAAGGACTTCGGACTCACATATTTCGGCATGGAAGACAGGCGCCAGGGTATCGTTCACATCATTGGTCCCGAGCAAGGGTTCACTCTCCCCGGGACCACCGTTGTCTGCGGTGACAGCCACACCTCCACACACGGTGCCTTCGGCGCCCTCGCGTTCGGCATCGGCACGAGCGAAGTCGAGCACGTCCTCGCTACTCAGACCCTCCTCACCCGCCGGAGCAAGAACATGCGCATTCAGGTGGATGGTGAGCTGCCTCCTGGCGTGACCAGTAAGGATGTGATCCTGCACATTATCGGAGTCATTGGCACCGCGGGTGGTAATGGTGCGGTCATCGAGTTCTGCGGTTCCGTCATTCGCGGCCTGAGCATGGAGGCCCGGATGTCCATGTGTAACATGTCCATCGAGGCCGGTGCCCGCGCGGGCATGATCGCCCCCGACGAGACCACCTTTGAATACCTCAAGGGCCGACCCCTGGCCCCCAAGTACGACAGCTCCGAGTGGAAGAGGGCTGTCGCCTTCTGGTCGAGCCTCGCGTCCGATGAGGGCGCCGTCTACGACAAGACCGTCATCCTTAACGGCAAGGATATCATTCCCACCGTTTCCTGGGGTACTTCCCGCAGGACGTTGTCCCCATCACGGGCGTCGTTCCCGGACCCGACGACTTCGAGGACGAGAACCGCAAGGTCGCCTGCAAGCGCGCCCTCGAGTACATGGGTCTCGTGGCGGGCACCCGGATGCAGGACATCCCCGTCGACAAGGTGTTCATCGGCTCGTGCACCAACGCGCGGATTGAGGATCTGCGCGCCGCGGCCAAGGTCGTCCGCGGCAAGAAGGTTGCCGCCAATATCAAGCGCGCCATGGTCGTTCCCGGTTCTGGTTTGGTCAAGCAGCAGGCGGAAGCCGAGGGGCTGGACCGCGTCTTCACGGACGCTGGTTTCGAGTGGCGCGAGGCCGGCTGCTCCATGTGCCTGGGCATGAACCCCGACATCCTCTCCCCCCAGGAGCGCTGCGCCAGCACCTCCAACCGCAATTTCGAGGGTCGCCAGGGTGCCGGCGGCCGCACTCACCTCATGTCCCCCGCCATGGCCGCCGCCGCCGCTATCTCCGGCCACCTTGCCGACGTGCGTGAACATCTGACCGCCAGCCCCCTGCTGGCCAAGGCCCAGCCCCACCTGGACATCCAGCAGGAGCACGAGGACCCCACGACTGAAGACGAGTTCGACCGCATCATGGACATGCCGGCCGACAACGAGCCGCACGCCAACTCTTCCGCCGCCACGGCCGCCGCCGGATCCAGCGCTGGTCTCCCCAAGTTCACCACCCTCCGCGGCATCGCGGCCCCAATGGACCGCTCCAACGTCGACACCGACGCCATCATCCCCAAGCAATTCCTCAAGACCATCAAGCGTACCGGCCTCGGCAGCGCCCTCTTCTATGAACTCCGCTACAACCCCGCCGACGGCTCTGAAAACCCCTCGTTCGTCCTGAACCAGGAGCCCTACCGCAACGCCAAGATCCTCGTCGTCACCGGCCCCAACTTCGGCTGCGGCAGCTCCCGCGAGCACGCCCCCTGGGCCCTCCTCGACTTCGGCATCAAGTGCATCATCGCCCCCTCCTTCGCGGACATCTTCTTCAACAACACCTTCAAGAACGGCATGCTGCCCGTCGTCATCTCCGACCCGGCCGCCCTCGCCGCCATCGCTGCCGAGGCCACCGCCGGCCGCGAGATCCAGGTCGACCTCGTCAACCAGGAGATCAAGGACGCCGCCGGCTCCAAGCTCGCCTCCTTCGACGTCGACGCCTTCCGCAAGCACTGCCTCATCAATGGCCTCGATGACATCGGCCTCACCCTCCAGATGGAGGACAAGATCCGTGCCTTCGAGGCTAAGCGCACCCTCGAGACCCCCTGGCTCGACGGCAGCGGCTACCTCAAGCGCGGTAACCGCGGTGGCGCCACCATGATTCAGGCCGCCCCCGTCCCCAAGACCAACCGTGGAGACGTCAAGACTGAGCCGCTGGAGTGGTAGACGTTTTTCTTCTTCTATTCGCCTTCTCTCAGCAAAAAATGTTATGACCTTTATGCATTTGTGTGTTCTGCTGTTTTAACCTGGATGGTGCCTTATTTCACCTCCGGCGAGATCTGATTTCTATTGTAATGCATTGGGCGGGCTTTCGGGGATACTGTTCTTCGCTTTTATTATACCACATCCGGATATCTTCAATGCTATCGTTCTATTTGCAATACGAAGACCGTAGCTTTGACTGTGCAGATAAAGAATCATTAATTGACCATGGATATCGTAAATCCCAAACAGACAGACATAATGCAAAACTCTAGTCCCTCTCGTGATACATCCACTCGGAGGCGAAACAAATAGCATCGGCAGGTCATACAAAGGAACGACATGACATCCATGATTCGTGCAACCACAGTAACCCATCAATATGCAATGCGCTGCTTTTCTCTCGAATGAGAAAAGTCAGACAAGCTCGTCGGTAGCAAGACGAGTCTCGATCAATGTACACAACATGCGACTGTGCCTAATGGCCAGAGCAAAAGTGCTAAAATATCACACTCCTTATAAACCAGAGCAGAAGAAACCGCCCAGAACATTAGAAACGAATAAATGACCGACCATTATGTATAATGTCGGAGTATATCGGCGTTTATATCTTCATAGATAAAGAGCAGTGTCACGGATCCTCGCGTCGCCATCAAGGCAGAAGGCTAAGACCGTTCCACTACAGGAAGTCGAGGGATACTTGCAGTTCAGGGCTTTGAAAGTTGCTCTTTCCGGAAGAACCGCAAGAACCCAGCGCTGCGGAAGAGTGTTTGTCAGTCTTGAGTCCGAATATCAATGCTTGGAGGATAATGTGCTTACCATATTAGCAGCTGAAAGAAAATAGCAATCCAGAACCAGGCGTTGGCAACCGAGCTGACTCCGGCCGTCAGGTCTGGTGAAATCGGCCCCGGACCAATATTATTCGGAGCAAACGCCCTGGCGCAAATGGTCGCAATTGAACCTAGCACTTGAGAAGCCAGCAGAGTGAAGCAGATGTGCATCCGAGTCAAGGTCTGAAGCAAGATCATGCCGAATCCGAGGCCCTGTAAGGAATCCAGGACTCCAAGCCAGAGCCACAGGGACCGAGAAACAAGGGCCCCGCCTACGTCCCCGCCAGCCCAGGGAAGATACAGCCCAATCCCTGAGACTCCCCAAAGCATCTGGGCCCATCGTGGAGCCCCCAAGCCGCAGGCAAACACTGGAATGATCCAGCTATGAGACTTGGACAGATAACCGAACAAGTATAGCAGCGCGGCCCAGACAGCGCCAAAGAAAAAGGCACACAAAATTCCCACCTGCCAGGCTTCCGCATTCTTAGAGCTCCAGAGAACTGTTGCAGAGAGAAAGCGAGAAATGTCAGCCATTGCCCTTGATGATATTGCAATATCCCACGGTTCGACGACTTACAGTTCCAATTCCGTCCATACTGTGCGCTCAGAAAGAAGTTCTGAACGATGACAACGACGAAGTTCCACAGAACGATCTTTCGCCGGAAGACAGACTTGTAGAAAGATGGGACTTTCCCGGGTATCTGCCGGTAGTAATTCGGCAGACCGAAGAAAACAAGCAAACCGACACTCCACAGGATGATGGCGATGGGTAAGCAAATGGCACTAGAATATCAGTTAGCGAATTGTGACAGTAGACGAAATGAAGGACGTCTAACGTACGTTATCTTCCAAGTGTTTGTTATATCACCCTGAGGATTGATAATGCCACTGTTGGTTGCTTGAGCAAGGCTGGTTCCCCAATACCACAGGCCGATCACATAAGCCTGCTGGGTACCTTGAATGACACATGCACGGAAAACCCACTGTTTGACAGGCACTCCATTCTCATCACCGAAATTCAGCGCAAAGAAAATAGAGCCACTGGAAGAGGCAGCAGCGTACAGTCCGCTTCCCACATTCTGGATCCAGCCGCGACTGAATGAGTTGCTTTCAAAATGCGCGACACCGATTATGACAAACGCAAGGCCATACAACAGCCATGGAAGCGAGAGGACGACCACTGACTTAAAGTAGCGGAAGAAAAACCACCAGATGATCGAAGTAATCAAGTATGTTGTCGCGATACCATAGAGCTTTTCAGGTGTCTGGCCCACTTCGCCGGTGAGCAGTGTGATCTGGTAGGAGTTGGCCGCAATGATTTGTCCCAATCCAAGAAATATCGAGTAGATAGGCCAGTCACCAATCCGCACTTGCATCCATTTTTTCAGGCCTGTGGGGGGAACATAGTCAGATCCCAAGAAGAACTCATCACGTTCTTTGGGTGGATCGCTGTCGCTCTCACGCGCCCCCATTTCATTGGAGACCGTATCGTTGGACGAAATATCTCGCTTGATATGGAAAAGGGAAGAAGAAGGAGACTGGTTGCGACCTAATCTAGCATCCCTGAATCTATCGAACCACTTCTTCTCACTCTTGACAAGGTACTCCTCGATGCAGAGCTGTGATTCACTATTTGAACCATTCAACGCCTCCAACTTCTTTTCAAAGATTCTGTAGAACTCGCCGGTACTGTCTGTGAAGAAAGGGTCAACCCTCTGGAGTCTATAATCTCTCTTGGCGCCGACGATCGAATCTACCGACAGCACAGAGGCGCTGCTAAGGCGGTGGCTCGGGTTAGCAGGTTCCAGCATCCGCCGAGCAGGAGGGAAGATAGTCTCGTCGGCTTCAGTGACACCAGTGCTGGTGGGGGACAGGGGAGTGTTGAAAGAGATAGACGTTTGACTTGAATGTCTCCGACTGAAGAACTCCCGCGGGTTCCACACGGAATGATGCCCTTGTTGCTGGGAGATTTCCATTTGTCGCCCTGCTTCCGCTTGTTCGGGCGTGAGAGTGTATTCGTCGTCGCCGTAGTAGCTGGGAATAATATCGTCATCGCTGCTTGACTCGACGTCAGTCGTTGAGTTCTGATTGTCATCACTGCCCGCTTGGTTCATCTTCTTGAGTTTACGACGGCCGCGGCGCTCCAGATGCCCAGGTCCAGCTCTTACTCCGAGTGATAGCTGCCGGCTAAGACCTGACTTGGGCTTTTCAATCATTCCGGGACTTGGGTCGCGGCTGTATACGATTGTGTTTCGTTGCTGGGGGCCGAGCACGCTGAGCCGACTGGCATTTGAGATACTTGGTTCCCGTGAATGGATCAAAGGAGGAGTTTGGATGCCCGTTGGAGTCAGATTTCCTGCAACTGGAGGCGTCATCATCCCACTCGGGGTGTTATACCCGGATGGAGTCAACGGCTGTCCACTTGACTTCGCCAGTTCTTTGCTGTGAATGCGAATCGCAGTAGATTGCAAGATTTCAAGGTCTTCCACCCACTGAGCAACAGGAAAGCGTTGCTTCGCGGACCGTGCCCTCATCATGGCTCGAACTTTGGGTTTCGAGCTCAATGCACTACCAATAGCGAGTTTGAATTGATGGAGAAGATGCGATGTTGTTGTAGATTCAACATTGTACCACCAACCAGGCATTTGACCCAGGCCGCCAACTCGCGCACCAATACCAAGAGCACCCTTGCGCCCAAACTCCACTGCAACAAGCCCAAACGGCTCATCGCGGGATGGGATCAAAGCGAAGTCAGCACCAGAGAAGATGAATGGCGGAAGTGCTGTGAACTCGGGCCTCGAGAACACACGGCCGGGGTACAATTCCATCATACGATCGAGCTTCAACGCCGCGAATTTGCCATAGAGGTCAATAACCGGACCAACACAGATCAACTGAACGTTCGGCCGAGCTTCTAGGACTGCAGGCATAACATCTGCAATGAGGTCAATACCCTTTTGCATGGACCACCTTCCAACGAACACCAAAAGATCTGCATTGGGATTCTGTTCCAGTCCTGCCCACTCCTGTGCCTGACGCTTGAATTCTCCCCGGCTGGCCTCATAAGCTGCATCCACCTTGATGTCAGATTGCCTAATTAGCTCTCTGTTCCATTCGCCCGTGTCTGTAGGATCAGGATTCGGTAGGTTTCCAACTTTCTTCAGTCCCCAGAAGATCGGATACCTCGCATAAGAGCGCTTCCCATACTTCTTTGAGACACCTACGGCACCGAAGCCTTGCTGATGCAGCCGAAGGTAGCTTGCACCCGCATGAAGCATGTTGAAGACCTCACCAAATTGGACGTAGCGACTTGCTACATCAAGGTCAAGGTTGAACACGGAACAGACTTCATCTTTCTCCTTCTGCGTTCGCATTGGCCATAGTCCTTGGAATTCAGCGTTGTGAAGGGACAAGCAAATGGGGATAGTCTGTGGTAGCAGATAGAGCGGAGCAATCGAGCCATGATAGTCGTTGATGTGATACAGTTCGACGGAAAATCTCCTGATTGCCTGTGCGATACACTGATTCCAGGCAGAGTAGTAGATGGCACTATCCAGATCGTCCATCCGAGCAGGATACGGCTCGGTCTTGGTTTGCTGGCGGAAGACGGGTGCATCCAAGAGAACATAAGTGATGTTCTTGAGAACATGGTACTGGACATTGACCTCGTAAGAGTTCCCGAGCACGGTGACAAACATCGGGTCAGCCCGCTGATCCTCGGGGTAATCAACACCACCCACACAAGGGACAACCCATATCAGGTTCTGGTGCCCAAGGTTCTTGCTCATAAGCTGTGCCATGACGCCTAGACCGCCGATTTTAATCTTGATCGCCCAATCTTCAATGTCGTACTCCATTGTGGCAATCAGGACAGTCCTCCGCTTTAATGCCCCTTCATTGAATGCAGACCTACTTTGGAGAAAGCCTGACCTGTTTGCAAAGCGGACAAGAGGATTCATAGGCTCGCCATCTTCGAGAGCTGCGCGCTTGATCTTCCTCCGGAGCCATAATGGTAATAGCGTCTTCTTCTCGCTGACGCCGACTTGGTTAAATTTCACTTGGTAGAACGATTTCATGAAGCCGTATACACATGCAGCAGCCGTCAAAACTGGTATGAGCCAAAGGAGGAAGAAA